TTGAGGTATGCCTGTATATATATATATATATATATATAAATGTATATAAAAAGCTACACATACATTTATATACATACAATTGTATATAATTTTTTTGGACTTTCTAACTTAAAACTTAAACATTAAAACAAAACAAAATTTATAAAATGTAAATTATAATTTAAAAGCTTGTATTATATGCAAACTTTATAATATACAATTACGATTTATATAAAAATTATAATATAAAAAGATATTAAAACTCGTTTAAAAAAATGTTAAAATTTCCAAAAAACATTAATATTTTACATATAAAACAATTACAACAGATTTTATTCAGATTTAATGATGCTTTTAAATTTATTTCCAATTAAAAAATAATTTAACACGAACTACCACCTTAATTAAATAAAATGTTATGAAATTTATGATTTATTTTATATTAAATTAGATAATAGAGAAAAACAATAATAAACAATACTTCTATAATCAAAATAATCATTATTATTATTCATCACAACTATTCTGTTTACTTTCAGACTTTGTAGATGAATTAATTTGGGATTAAATATAAAACCATCTACTAGATGGAGCCATTAAACAAGGTCTTAGATCTTACTACAGTATATTCAAAGTAAATAAGGTTAACTGTTATAATTGAATTTAAATTATCTATATATTTTGAATTAGGCGATTGGTTTAGGGTCATGAAGTTATTAAATTAAAATAACGTTTTAATATAGTTAACAATATTAAGTATAAAACATGTATATAATTATATATATATATAAATAATCTACTTACCTGATAAATATGATTTAACCCTTAAAACTCATCAAATACATACGTAAAATGTAATTAAAACCGTTTAAACTGGAAAATTTTAACAAGACATTCCAATGATACTTTTACCCTTTCCATTAACAAACCAAGTAACACGCTGCTTTGAAAATACACTTTTTATATGTTATACGTTGAATATTATGGCAGAATTTAGTTATAATATTCATAATAATTGTTTATTATGGCTTATTTTAATTATTTTATATATATTTTATGACAAAACGCGAATTAGGCTTAACAACTACAACCCGATGTACTTAGTTCTTATTTAAAAAGGATACACTTGAAGTCTTTGTCCCATATCTTGAATAAAATTAGCTGCTTGTTGTCTATATGATAATTCTTTATCTGCGTCGATACCACATTTTTTACTGGGAGAATTCAAAAGTTCTTCTTTACTGAAATACCATCTATCAGCCGCCGCCATTGACACAGCTCCGTAAACGGAGTGTCCCGCAGTAAAAAAATCTTTTTCTATATTCAACCACTGTTATAAAAATTAATAAATTCATTTCCAGTAAAGAAAATTAAATATAGGAATAATTTTTTTAATATAAATGCTTTATTTGTTATAAAAACTTTTGTCGTTTCGGCCAATGTCGATTGAGTATGTTCACGTGACCGAGCGCGCTCAATTCAAATAGTACAGAGAGTCGATTATTCGAAATAATCCGGTCGGAATACGCTTTAGGGACGGAATAAAACGTAATAATATTAAATGATGTAAAAAAATATTAATTTTAATTCTTGTACAACAGTAAAAAGTTAAGGCGTAAAATTTAATAAGTAAGAATGATTAGAAATAACTATCCACTTATGTCCGACCTCACACGCGATATGACAAGTGACACCCCTCTGTCTTCCCCTTGACCTTTAATTAATTACCAAACTTTAATAGCTTTAATACTACTAATACACAAACCTCCCCGCAAAATTTCCCAGAAATGGTATTGAAGCTTTGTAGCTTAATCCCACAGGAATTAGGCTTCAAAGTGGGTTAACAAAATCATGTTATAAATTAATCTATAGTTTAATACATAAATTAAAAATTAATTTATTAAAGTTTTGATGTCCCAAGTCCAAAAATGTAAAAATATTGGCGGTTATTTTTTAACAGATCGCTATACTTTACCCTCGGTTATATACAAGAGATATTTTTTAACCTCCGATATGTCAGAAAGAAAAAAACTGGGGTGTGGCTGTGTCGGGGACACGACCACACCCCATTTACACACAACATACATATAATACACTCAAAGGAAATATTATCCGTTAACGTACACATATACACATAAAACACACGTCGGGGACACGGCCGTGTGTTTTAAGTGAATACGTGTATGTTAGCGGGTAATATTTTCTTTGAGTGTATTATAGACTATGTATGTCATAATCATTCCTTAACAGTAAAAAGTTCTTCGGATCTCCATGTTTTTTTACGTTCCAGGCACCGCTTTACTCTATCATATGGTGTTTTATGGGTATCACTGGATTGTTTTTGAGAAGCCCTTTCCAACCGTATAAGATTTCTATATTTTGATTCGGCTTTTCGACGAGTATAGGCCGACATTCTATTAAGTTTTCTTAATTTTTAACTTTAACACCATATATATTCACCATAACTATTCCACACTAATGTTTTGTGTACGCAATCGATAAATGTTGACGAGAGCCATAAATTAAAACTCAATAACGAGCGTCGTAACTTCTCCGAGTCAAAATATTATATGTATACTAAACGGAAAGTATGTGACACGGCGAAACGACCTGAAAAATGGCGGCGCTTACCCCTCTACCGCGCGCGATACGTCACAGTCCTCACTCAACGTAATGAATTCTTTGATCTTTTAACTATCGAATGTAATTAAATTTTAGATGTAGATGATAGATTATGTAGCTGCAATGCCAAACTGTATCCCCCCGATTTTGTTATCATCAGTTTTCTGAATTTTCTCCCACTACGGAAGCAAATTTAAAAACGTATTAACATCGAAAAAAAAAAAAAAAAAAGAATGGCGAAGATCAAAATTGTTTCATTTACAAAAGTTAGATACACTTTTCAGCTATTTTTCTACATAATCGCCGTTTCGATTTAGGCATTCATCATACCGTGGTATCTGTAAGATGGCCGACTACCACAGATGGTGTTAAGAGGGTGGCATCAGTACGAGGATGACACCTACCTGGTGCCATCCTCGTACCTGGTGGTGTTAAGAGGATGGCACCAGCGCCATTTTCTGTAGTCATCTAGACATCAAGAAACAGTTTGATCCTCGTTATTCGATTTTTTTACCCAGCACATCGGAAGTTAAAGAAAAAAACTCTCGTAAAACAATCGGAAAAGTAAAAATACATACAGTAATAGTAAAATTAATAAAATAACGAGATACCTCAACAGTTAGTTTATCCATGATTGTCGACAATCGTTATAACGTAAAAATTTCGCTTTATTATTCGCTGAAGCAGATTTTTAACAATCAAAGTTCTATTGTTGCGAAAATAGAAATATTTTCGCTTCCACTTTCAAATAAATGTGAAAGAATATTTTTTCCTTATATAACAGTAATTGTAATTCTAATCATTATTTAAATACTTTGACGAATAATTATTTTACTCCTTGAACACATTTCCGTTAATCACGACACAAAAATACTTATAATTGTAATTAATAATAATTTAAAAAAATAACTGAGAAAAACTTACAAACGAAGTGTCCGAAGCGTTCGAAGCGGGAAATAACTCGCTCGTCTTGGCCTTTTCGTTCGTTTTGGGTTTTTCGCTGGTTTTTTCCTTTTCGCTCATTTTGACTCTCCAAACTTACTCGATGTTTTAAAGTTTGAATCTCCAAATTTACAAATTAGCGTAACGTCGATGAGAATAAAACGAATCTCGGAAAGGGTACGTAGGTAACCAACATCACATCATAAGAAGCAAATTGATTGGTCAAGACAGGTAAGAGATATAGGAAATGGACAGCGCTCATTGGTCGATGCAGATGATATGCAAAGCCTTAGAGGGGTCAAACCATTGCACAGCTCAAATAATTTATACAAATCTATTTACTCCAATAACGCATTGCCACATTAAATATGTATTAATTGTTTGTCAAATAATTACACATTCTCGCTAAACACTTTTTCGTTTATAAACCTTAATGATTTTAAGAAAACGCTCTAACTTGTATTAAACAATACTATTAAACGCAGCTGCAACCGACATGCAACATGCAATGAACAGTATGCTGGAAAAGAAACAAGTATCTTTTTCTTTTCTTTTGTCTCTTTTTCAGCATACTAACCATTTCATGTTGAGTAGGTTGAATTATAATATTTATAAATATGATGGAAAAATTCATGTTTCGTTATCAATAATAATGCAGGTTGATTATTATATAATATGTGGAGTTGAAAAATAGTAAATCGTATAAAGTTTAATACTTTATTACGTGAACCTTAGTCCGTTACAGGGGGGACTTTATTTCGTGTCATTGTTTCCTCGATTTTCATTTTGATCAGTTCACTCTCAATAAATCGTTCCCAGAATACACGAATTTTTATCGGTTTTGATGTCAAAATAAACGCATNTGTTGAGTAGGTTGAATTATAATATTTATAAATATGATGGAAAAATTCATGTTTCGTTATCAATAATAATGCAGGTTGATTATTATATAATATGTGGAGTTGAAAAATAGTGTATCGTATAAAGTTTAATACTTTATTACGTGAACCTTAGTCCGTTACAAGGGGGACTTTAATAAATTAAATCACATTCATAAAATTATATTTGTTCATTTTTTATAGCCTATGTTTAAAGTTTATATTGAGAATAAAACATTGTGCTTAAGCTATTGTCGAAATAATTTCAAAGAAACGAATATATCCTAAGTATATAACCGCAAAAATTGTAAATTTCGTGTTACTGTTTCCTCGATTTTCATTTTGATCAGTTCAATCTCAATAAATTGTTCCCAGAATACACGAATTTTGATCGGTTTTAATGTCAAAATAAACGCATCAATTGTAAATTGAGTTGAATAATCCTTCCAGAAGTATTGTATATACAGTAAAAATTAAACCAGCAACGAGTTGCTAAACTTCCCTGCCACATTTAAAATTTTGGTAACATTATCTGTTATGATATTTTATTAAAAACCTTTTTATATTTTTAATTATTATAAAATGGTAAAAAGCTTAAAAAGAAAACTTTAAAATATTCGTAATAAATTAATGAGAAAATTGTGGCCGTAATTTTCACATAGTAAAATAATTTTAATATTAATAATAATAATTTAGTAACATAAATTTATTCATAGTAAAATGTACTAGTCTTCCGTAAAAATCATTAGGAGTGCCGTACACGGCCCGCGGGGCGCCAGTTGGACAGCCCTGCCTTAGGACAAATTGACGTTTGAAGAAAAGGGTTACACTATTTAAGTTATGCGATTACAATTAATGTAAAATAACGATACTATATAACGATATTCACTATGCAGTTGTTTATCAAATTTTATATTCGATGAAATACTAATAACAGGACGTTATTCTCTATCAATGTATATAAATGAGTATGTTTGTTCGCTATGTACACCTGGGGACGTTAAACAACTGCTATGAAACTCGGTAGTTACGTTAATTCATTTTTAATTGTCGTACATCGCACTCCAAAATATCGATTTAATTTCTATAAATCAATTAATTTCTATTTACATTCGATTTGCTGACTTTACACGTAACTCCATCTATTATAAAAACTTTAAGAAAAATAATTAACTAAATATAATTCTTACATAAAAGGATATGATTTTAAAAATTATATATTATATTCACTGAATTACAAGTAGCAAGTAGCAAGTAGCAAGCAGTGGCGGCCTTAGCGGGTGGCGAGCAGGGCAATCGCCCGGGGCCTCGCTCTTGGAGGGGCCTCGCGCAACAACCAAGTAGAAAAAAGTTGATATTTAAAACTTTTTATTTTATCCTTGGCTATTAGTTATAACAATAAAATAAATTTAATTTATAGTACAGTATATATTAATATTAATAAGTGCCTACTATTTCAATTCACATACTTTGCACAAAGGACAAGGGCCTCGCAAAGATCTGCCGCCCAGAGCCTCGCAATGGATAAGGCCGCCGCTGCTTCTGACAATCGCAGCGAGTGTGTGGGCTAAATTTGGAGAATCCGTGCTTCTCGCATGTAACTTTAAATGCTTTCTCAGTGCTTATTGCGCAAGTCTGAAA